GCAAGAGAAGGAAGTAGAAGAAATGCATAATATAGACAGTAAACAGAGGTGTGAGACAAAGGAATAGTAATAACGGAGAACAAAACAGTTTAATTGGAAATGATAAGTCACAAGGAGTGGATGCATCTGCGCCACTGAGAACGATTTTGAGCCATGTCAACAATTGTTTCCAACCATTGGTTTTTACCATCCCGAGGGCCCCAACCAGGAAGTCTACATCTTCCTACGTGGCTTAGATTAACTGTTGTGGATTTCATTGATTGGTGCCATGTTTTGGTTTGACCGCCGCTAGCTCTTTTCCAGCCTGACCCTATATCAGCTAACATTGCCCATTGTCGAGGAAGGCGATGACTAGGCATACGTAGCACATGTCCTAACCATCTCAGTCGAAGTAATTTCACAGTCTCGTCGATTGATTTCCCCGCCTTACCTAGCACTCGACGCCTAACCTCAATATTGCTCACCTTATTATACCACTTCACGCGGGAGATAGAACGCAGGCACCTATGATCGAAGACAGCTAATCTTTTCATGTCTTCTGCTCTCAATGGCCAGGTCTCACAGCCATAAAGGAGGACGGAGCGGACTGTTGAGCAGTACACACGCCCTTTGTTCGATAGTTGGATATCGCGTCTACGCCAGAGACGGCGTAAACTGGCATATGCGAAACTAGCCCTCTGTATTCGTATTGAAATTTCGTCTGAGATCAACCCGTTGGCGTTGGCTGATGGTATTTCCCAAGTAAGTGAAGCGGTCAACGTGTTCTACCACTTCACTTCCTGTTTCTAATCTAGGGGTCGATGAAGTCCAATCCTGCAGCATCATCTTACATTTTATAGGGGCGAATCGCATGCCAAACATGCGGAGATTGTTGCTCAGGGTGTTCAGTAGACTCTGCATTTTGTCAGAGTCCTCGCCTAGAAGGACTATATCGTCCGCATATTCTAAGTCAACGAGATTCTTCCCTGGTAGCAAGTCAATCCCTGAGTCGCTGAAGTGAGTTAGGGTTAAGTCCATTAGTACATCTATGATGAAATTGAATAGGAATGGGGATAATGGGCATCCTTGACGGACGCCACTAGTCGTCACCACTTCAGATGACAACTCACCATAAGCCCTCACGTGGCTGCATGAGTACGAGTAGAGTGCCTTAATCAGTGCAATGTATTTTCTTGGCATTCCCTTTACAGCCAAGCATCGCCAGAGAACCTCCCGGTCGACAGAATCGAATGCCGCCTTTAGGTCAAGAAATATAATGATTGTCGGACGCCGGTAGGAATGCCTATGTTCTAGAATCTGTCGAAGGGTGAAGATGTGATCAATAACCCTCTACCTGGCCTAAAACCTGTCTGGTTTTCTCGTGTTTGTGTCTCCCGAGCACCACTTAATCTACGCAGTATTATTGAGCCTAGGATTTTAGATGCTATATTAGTCAGGCTAATCCCTCTGTGATTATCACAAGACGACTTGTCCCCCTTCTTGTATATCGGGATGATCAGTGACTTACACCAACCCGACGGGACTTCCTCTGACTCCCAGACGCTGCCTAGAACCTCTGTTAACGCAGACAGTAAACTGTCGCCTCCGTACTTAAATACCTCTGGAGTCAATAAATCAGGTCCCGCTGCTTTGCCTAGCTTCAGATTGGTGACAGCTTTAGTAACCTCGGTTAAGGACGGAGGACCTGTGTCTATCTCCCATTCAGGGAGGTGTTGGATGTCCGGTAGGTTAAGTGTGGCTGTGGGCCAATTAAACTGCTCCTCATAGTGTTCTTTCCGGCGCTCCAGACGTCTATCCTGGGAGCTAATTATGGTGCCATTTTTCTCGGAGATTGTTTCGCTTATCATTTGTTTTTTACCACCTGTTTCCCTGATAAGCCTGAATAGTTGTCTGGTGTTGCCTATCGCCGATGCTTTTTCCATCTCTTTCGCCTTTGTCAACCACCACTGTTCACGGTCCTTGCGGAGACTTTTCGTAAGTTTCCTCTTGTGCAGCTTTCGCTCCTCATTGAATTCGGAGCTCGCCGGAATAAGTCTTCTAGCATCTATCAGTTCGGATGAGGCAGTCGAAATCCAATGGTTTTTACTCACCTTTGGATTTACCTTATTCACAGCTTTTACAGCTGTATCTATGGCTGACTGAATATTCTTCCAGGCTTCTTCAGGGTGAGCGCAGCTGTCAAACTCAGATATGTGTTTAGCTAGTTCTTCCTCAAATAGGGACTTAGTTCCCTGGTCGAGCTGGGGACGTGATGGGTATACCGCCAGCTGTTTCCTACGTCCGTTCAGTCGTAAGCACACACGAGCGCGGACCAGTGCGTGATCGGTATCTACACACGTGTTCCAGAAGGAGCGACAATCTCCTACCGACCCACGCCAACGATAGCTTATTGCTATGTGGTCTATTTGTGTCCAGCGTTGATTTGATGATGGTTGTCGCCAGGTCAAACAGTGTCTCTCCTTGTGTTTGAAGTTAGTGCTTACAATATACAAATGATTATCTGAACAGAACTGTAGGAGACGGTAACCGTTGTCGGTTCGCTGGCACGGAATTCCGTATGTGCCACCAACATTCTTCTCAGATTGACACAATTTCCCTACTTGAGCATTAAAGTCACCAGCTAAAACGACTATATCTGAGCGTTTAGCCTTTCGCAGCAAACTAGACAGCTTTTGGTAGAACTCATCCTTCGTTTCATCCGAACTGCAGTCAGTGGGGGCGTAGGCGGAGATTACGAAAAGGCATCGGCGAGTAGTGCAGTCCTTTCTCCTTTTCACTGATCCGTTCAGGCGGACAGCGCACATTCGGCTATCTACCGGGATCCAGTCAAGTAATGTCTTTTCTGCTCTAGTACTTAAAGCTATCCCAACACCAGCTAATCCTCGTGAGCTAGCCGTCGCATCTCCTGACACCCTCAAGGTGAATTTTGCAGATTCATCCTGTTGGCCAGGTGGGGTTAGGTGAATAACCACACTTGGGTCTTGTATGCGTGTTTCTGAAACACAACATACATCAATGGCTCGGGATGCCAGAGTCTTGGCTAGTGATGCTTGTTGTCCTATTTGGCAAAGTGTCCTAACATTAAATGCTCCTATATAAAATTGGTGGCGTGGTTTTAGGAGACCATCGGTGGTGGCTTTTTGGCTTCCATCGTTGTCAGTGCTCACAGAGTGAAGAGGAAGTGAAGAGCCAACAAGTAGAGGAGTTGCATTGGTAGAAGGAAGGCAAGATAATAGAGATGAAGATGAAGACAAAGATGAGCGAGGATTAGAGGGGTTTCGCGTGCACTTCGGATTGTGAGGGCGATTGTTACTTCCCGGCTGCCCACACCGTGGAAGTTGGTTGCGTGACCGCAGAGCCCAGGGGACAACTGCTTGAGGCCGGTCACACACGGCCTGTTTTTGTTTGTTCTTTTTTATTTGGTGTGTCTCAGTAGCGTATTTATCACTTCTGCCCTGTGACACGGCAGCAGAAAGCGCGGTCGTTGTTAATCCGGGCCCCGACCGATCCGGCATGATATTTTGTGATTTATTTGAAATCATAGGATTGGATTGGGTAACTGCTTTTAGTCTAACTGCTATCCAAACAACCTTTCTGGCATGGTAAGACCTGCAGGAACATAAGTTCCAGCCAGTATAGCTTGTTGGGTCATTGCAGTGTTCAAGCCCGACCACCACGTCAAGGTAGCAGCTTTCGGTCGGGAGACAGTTGGCTGTTGTAATTCATCCTGTTGCATTATCCATTTGTGAATGTTGTGCTTTTATTTTTAAGATTATTGGTCTCTCACTCTCTCTAGGACAAATGTATCAAACTCTGATGACCCATTATTTTGTTTTGATCTTATTTCAACCTTTATTTAGTTTATGTGTATAAGGTCATATCAATGTCTTCCAGAAAATTATAGGTTTCATGCTACGTCATACTTAAATGTACTGTACGCAATTCATTGCAGATAAACGAGTCACCCTGTACACGTACAAAAATTGATGAGAACGCATTAACTGCGGTTTGGCGTCTCCCACTTCATCGCTGCTCCTTTTTTTCTCAAGTTTATATATATATATATTTGGAGTCGAAGAGAGTGATTGCATCTCTGTCAGTCTTCAGTCAGATCTCGCCCTATTTATCCTTCAGGAGAACTGTCGAGAGGACACATAATAGTCTTTTCAACATAATGAATACCCTTTTGGTGGTTTCACATTTTGGCAACTGACTGACTAACTGGTTTCAATATAGCCATCGCCTTCCTCGAAGAGCAATGCTAACTGACATAGAGTCAGGTTGGAAAAGAGCCAGTGGTAGTCAAACCAAAGCATGTCATCAGTCAGTGAAACCCACATCAGTTAGTTTAAGTCACGTAGGAGGGTGTAGACTTCCTGGTTGGGGTCCTAGAGACGGTAAAAACCAATGGCTGAAAACAATTGGTGATATGGCTCAAAATCGTTCTCACCGATGGGTGGCGCATATGCATCCACTCCTTGTGATTTATAATATCCAATAAAACTATATTTTTCTTCGTTATTACTATTCCTTTTGTCTCATATTTCTGTCTACTCTCTCTATTTTGAATTTATTTTTACTTTCTTCTCTTGCTTTGTGTGCTACATGGAGAGAGTGTGGCAAGTTGAACTGCTGCACATCGGTGCAATGTTCTGTGTTGAAACCAGTCAGTCATTTCAACATAGAACTTTGCACAGAAGTGCAGTAGCTCGAGTTGCCACACTCCTTCCATGTAGCACACAAATCAAGAGAAGAAAGTAAAAAGTTCTCCTATATTGTTTTTCTTGTTGTCTTTGACGTTTGACGTCACGTGATGTGACCAATTTTAGTATTTGATGCTTATTTAGTTAATTGTGACTATATTGCATAATCATCATGTGGTCTCCTCAAAGTTGGTAACATGAAGCTGACTGGTAGTAATTTCTGTTGATTGATAAAGCATACATACAGCCTATATAGATATACTTCTACTGGTGTCCTTCAAAATTTTTTCTTTTTAGACGCTCGGTTGAATTCGATTCACATGGCCGTAAGTGGCGAACGACTGGGGAAGTCGGGAACTTGTATTAGTAGTGATTTGTCGGTAACCAATGCAAGTACTCACAGTGTTGTTGGTAAAAATGGTTTAATGTCTAACTGGTCGGATACTACTACTACTACTACCACCATTCATTCACAAATGCCTCCTACTCTTAGATCACAAGTAACACAACCGTCATCAGCGTTATCCTCATCGCCTACACTGGGTGCATGTGGTGGTGGTGGTGCTATTTATGGTCAGTTAGTAACAGCAGATCAACTATGCCAATTGGAGCGACATTCAGCTACTAACACAAGTGGTGATGATACGGCTAAGTCAATTGAAGGTGTGCATAAAAAGACTGGTCTATGCTTAAGCAGTATAAAACAGACGACTACTACTACTACTACACATGAGAGTAAAGTACAAAAAACCTCGTTATCGCTCAATCCTGTGGTGGTGTCCAGTACAAATCTTCCCCAGTCAGCCTCTCAGGTAATGACCCAGTCTTCTTATGCCTATTCGGATGCGTCAGTCACTAAACCACCACCACCACCACCGCAACAACAACAACAACAAACGAGCAAGGATACTACTACGCATCAACCAATGGAAATATCCCATTCACTTGGTTCCGAATCGATTACATTTCCGCATCATACTACTGATGTCCAGTCAACTGCTATGGATTTAGGTGGACAGCCGGGTAGTCCATCTTTGTCGAAAGTACGAACATCTGTTACATCTACTTGTTGCTTACTTCAAAGCAATAATAATAATAATAACTCTCAAGCTGGACAGAATACTTACTGCTACCCTATATTTCCATTTGGTGTGTCTACAACTGATCATCAAGTGACGTGTAATCCTACATCATGTAGTCATATGATAAAAGATACTCGATGTCCTGCTGCTACAGTTACACAAAATGAACCTATTTCAAATATCACCAGTCAGTATTCATGTCCTCGTGATTCCGAACAACGACCTGTCATAAAAATGTCAGTTAATCTTATTCGAACGTATAAAAATATCAATGAGGTAAGTGAAACTTGATTAGTTTGAATAGAAACTTTAAAGTTTTGCAATGTGCTTTATTTCGATTTTTTCTAGCTTTGTTTATTCTATAGACATACATAATATCTCCATTATATAATAAGGTATACTTGAGTTTGAGTAAGGAATAACTGGTTACTCAGACTTACTTATGGTTTGTTGTGTTTCATTTCACTCATTCAGTGTGATGAGGGCGAAGATACTCTTCCCGGGCGCCCAGACCAAAGCAGGGGAACACTTCGCGTGAGCCTTTGACTTGGAGTTTCATCCGAAAGGCAGCAGAACAGCGTCAGGAGCTACGTTCGCTTAGTTTTCGGTATCCAATACTGGTTTATGCGCTGTCATTCCATCTCGTTTGGATTCTGGAGCCCCATATTACCCCATAGCAACTGCTTTCACTCTAATCGCTATCCAAAAAGCCTTTCTGACATGGTAGGACCTGCAGAAATATAAGTCAATGCGCAAGCCTGACCACTACCGGGTCAAGGTAGCAGTTATCGGCCGGGCAACTGGTTCCTAGTCATTGATGATTTACTGCAATATACGTGTATAGAGATAATAATGAACATTAAATTTCCGCCGTTGAATTAAGCTCTACATTGAGAATATTTATTTACTAACTAACGTCTATTTTCCAGATTAATACAGGAAATCTTTGATAACTGTTTTTGTGTTCTTTAAGATTAGTTAGACTCGCATTAACAAAGATTCGCTAAGATTAGAACACGAGGAAACGTTGACTGACTTCTAGACTTAGTTTCTCATTGTTTAACCATTGTGTTGCTAGTTTGATTACCTTACTATCCTGTGTCGCTTATCGCTGCAATTAGTATATTAGATTTAACATAGTCTCCTACATTGCTTGCTATATGTATTCGTTTGCGTTCCAAGTGGAACATAGGGCTTCATACGGGGTGGAGCTGCTAGCCTCTCGTCCAACTTTCCCTTTTTATCGGGCTTTCAGTCGACTAAAGGAGGTAATAATGTGCGCCGGCAGGGAGTCGAACCGTAAACTGCATGCACACAGTTGGCGAGCATTCTACCGCTGAACGGCAGACGCACACATGTGATATATGGGTTAGTGTTATTACGTACATTTAGTTTCTTTGACGTCTTTTAACACCTTGATACAAGAAAACAATAACTCCTACTTTGTTATCAAGTCAACCTTCTTCGTCCGTCGGGTGAGGAGACTTTTCTTATCGCTAATATCTAGACCTATCTCGAAGTTTTGAACTTGCCTGTTAGCCATCCAACTAAGAGTTACAATTTAAAAGAAGGAAATAACATATCCAAGGTCTAAATCAGCGAATCATTAGTGACAGCTGTTTCAAGTTTTGTCTATATGACATCCTATTCCTAGGTACTGTCAATTTCAGTTTAAAAAGTGTCTAATGTGCCCAACAACGGTATTCATTTCAAAGTTAGACACTAACGAAATCAGTAAGTGGTTGAAAAAGTGCGAGGGAAGAAGATAAACTCAGATACTACTGATATGTTGGTTTTAGCACTCATCTATTCGGGCATGTTTTTGGAAATTGGAAGAATAATATAGTTGCTAGTTGTTTGAGCTTAGGTGGAGAATATAGACATTTGGGGGAAATACAGAAGAATTGATTAGTTGACCCATTTTAATGACACCTGACGTGGTATCCAGTTTGCTGTAGAAATTGCGATAGAATACATAACTAGTCCGCTGAAGAGGTTAAGAAAACGTGAATTGGTATGTAGTTATTCAAAAAAAGAACTAGAAAATGAATGAAACATGGATTCAGTTGAGCCCCATCGACATTTGATTCACACTGATCGACGAATATTATTATTATTATTATTCAGTTGGGTTCCGAATGGAACTTAGAGCTTCAACAGCACGCCTCCACTTTGTCCTGTTTTCTGCTGTCCTCTTTAGCTGGCCCCACGACTGCACATAGTCTCTGATCTGCTCCATGTCACCACTCGTCGTTCCCCTTTGGTATTGCACTCGAGTGATGGCCTGTCGCACGATGTCATTTGACGGACTCCTCAGCATAGACCCAATCTATCTCCATTTCCTTTAGGATATTTATTGACCAATAGGTTCTTGGTTGGTTTGTTCCCTCAGTTTTCTGTTGCTAATTCTTCCCAACAGGCCTTTGGTCTTCAATATGAAGCCAGTGAAGTGGACAGCTGTCGATAAAAGTCTTCAACCTGTTGGTATTGCTTGGTGACTAATGAGCTACGTTTCTGATCTATTTGGAAGCACTTATTTAACATTCGTGTTGAAGATCTGAATCTTGTTGTGCATGCTGAGTGCAGAAGATTTCCCAACTGATTTCAGAGTGATGAGGGTCTGCCTCGACTTTACGATTCTGGCTGCTGTTCAAAATCTTCATCCGTACCGTCCGCCTGTAGTTGAAACAGTGGCGCCTAGATAAGTGAAGGAAGTAACCTATTTCAAATTTATTCCCTTGGTAGTGACTGATGCTTGTTGTTGTTATTGTGGGTTGGTCATTTTCATTACTTCCATCTTCTCAATGTCCACATGAAGCCCTGTCACCACTTCTTCTGCTAGTTTTGTTGGTTTTCGCCAGTAGGTCTTCGAGTTTGTGTGAGTGTGTGACGTTAGTCATAAATCATCCGCGAAATCCGGATCTTCTAGAGTGGATTGGCAAGTGTGTTGGCGACTGAAAATTATGTCAACACTGGATGTCGATGAACTAATTCCTTGGTTATTTAGGGTTGGTTAGTAGTAGTTGAAGAAATTGACCAATTGTAAGAGGCAGAGGTATCCAATTTTTAAACCAAAGGTGTGCTTTATGCGTGACTGTTAGCAGTGTATTAATCACATCTTCACTGCCTGTTGGATTCAAAAATAGAGAAGTGAATTCTCAGTACTGTAACTAGCATATTTCTCGAAAGTGGCATTCCACTCACTTGACCAGGAGTTGTTTTTGACACTTATGATTGTAAAAATGACTGAGAATCATCACATTCCCTTGCTGAATACTGTGTATTAGAATACTTATAATCACGTTGTCTTTGGTGGTGGCTAGCCGTGAAATCCAGGACGCTTGTTTCGCCCTTTCTCGGGTCTCATCATCTGGTGTGAATGTATCTGCATCCCCGGCGAGTGATTGTGTTCCAGATGAGACTTAGATTCATCGTTTCAAATGCTAGAACGTTATCCCCGAGACGCACCTCTTGGGCAAGTGATATCGTGTAAATCTCATGGCATCATGGAATGGTACGTACTGACTGACTGACTGACTGGTTCCAGCATGGAACTTTGCCCGGAAGTGCAGCATTTCAAGTTGCCACACTCCATGTACCACACAAAGCAATAAAAGAGAGGTCCGTACTATGAGCCAGTATTTCAGTCCAGTACAGCCAATCGACAGGAGATACAATTTGCGTGGCGAAATACTTGTATACTCGAGTATTATAAAAATGTGTTTCATGTGCAGATTTCTTGGAAATTAAGTTATTAAGCTCATGGTATAATATCTGCTATCGATGTTAGTACTTTTCAATCCTCATGAAGTAACACCAACGTTCAGGTAGATTAGAATGATAGACGAGATCCATTGCTATTATTGTCAACTTATGCATGCCGTTCTATCGTAAAACATCCATTATTCATTTATTTCATACTCGTGGTTTCCTTCACATTGATGTTTCGTAATATTCAGAAAGCTTTCATAGATCCATCATTCTGTGTGTTATTTCAACTGTCACCAAACTCTTTCCCAGTATTCGAATCATCATGCGTTTTCAGTAGCACGACCTTTCAATAGCATATCCGGCAGTGTCTTTGTACTTTTCAGTCATTTTGAGAGGTGGAGGAGTGGAAACTGTAGTGTTTTATTACATTACAGAGAAGAGAAGGTTGTATGTCATGGAAATTGTATTTTTCTCGCTCATCACTTCTTGTTATTGCGTATTTATCATTTCCCAGCCAGTTGAACAAAACTGTTTCTCTTTATTCATAATTTTTGTAATATAGTTTTTAAGTGAAGCCTATTACAAGACAAATTATTTTGTGGGCACTAGGAGATGCACCACAAAAAATTTCATAATTTGTGCAAGGCCTGGATTACTTCCCCGGACGCCTACAGCGGCGAGACAGGTGGATATTTTAAAGGGCCACCTCTTCGCTGAACGGTTGATTTGAAGTCTGATGGACAAGGTAAGGTAGTGGAGCATCGTTAGGAGCTACATTACAATGAGTTTCGGTGACCAAAACAGTTTCATACGCTACCATTCGATCTGTTTGAATTCTGGAGCCCATGTACATCATTGGTTTGGAATCATGGTTTTTCACCTCACCTAGGTTGATCTGTATGGTCAACAGTTCGGTTTTAGGAGCTGGACGTTCACATTTGCATGCATGCGAGGAACACTGGGGTTGCGTAAAGGCAACGGATAGGACTTACTTGCTGGCAGAGGCTATGAACGCATGACGACATGAAAACATTTCTAGAAGAAGACCGACGTCTATCTATCCTTGGCCGTACCAAGTCGTTTGTGCGGGCTGGACAGAAAAAGATTATCTTTCTTTCTTATTTATGTCTTCAGATGCTATATTTAGACAAATTCTTGTTCTGACTAATTTGTCTTTACAACGTTTGCATTTGTGTAGTATGCAATGAAAATAAACTGATTTCAAGTAGAATAGTTGCTAGGAATGACTGGGAAGCAATATACTGAATCACTAGTCGGCTATTCCCTTGCTTGTCGAGTGGACCATACCGCTTTATGGTTTGAATTTTCATTAACTGTAGTGTTTTTTCTTACGGTGTGGGGAAATTGCTAATCTCTCTCTCTCTCCCAACCTCCCCTCTTTACCATGACTTACTACCGGGCTAGGCGAGGTTTTGGTGGGGAATCGAACTCTGGACCACGTGAAGCGTGGTTGGCGAGTATTCTACTACTAAACCACTGAGTCATTTAGTCAGTATATAATAAAAGGGAATCATTACTATTATTTTTATTTTTGTTACTATTATTGTTATCTGTAGGCATGATGTCCTTAAAAGGCCTTGATTAACAAATGCCTTCTCCCATATTTTTTGTGTCTTGCCTTCACATTAGGTATACTATCGAAAGAAACGTCGTATTAGAGAACAGGTCGGTGAAGACAGTATACAAAAAAGAGATCGTAAAGGTTCTGTTTCATTTCTATCGAATGGTAATTCTACTACTTTTGGCAATGGTGGTGGTGCTTCAATTCCTGCATGTCAACATGGTTCAACTGGAAATTTAACTGGGGTCAATGCTGCCAGTGTAGCCAACACAGCTGCTCTAACCTGCCATTATCATCATTATCATCATCACCATCATCATTGTGTCCCATCTCAGTCGACATTGTCATCTCAACAAGTCCCCGCGTTGCCTCCACATCGATGCGGTTGCAGTGGTTGTAATAATAATAGTAGTAGTAATAATCCCATCTTAGGTTCTACTTGTTGTCCAACATCTTCCGAGATACAAACACGATCTGGTGTGAATGGGATTAATCAAACACGTCATCAAGCACCTGGTGGTGGTCAAGTTCACACAAAACACCATCATCATTCTACAGTTTTTCATAATAATAATCAACATGGAATATCTCACTTCCCTCACCATCATCCTCAACAGCAGCAACACATCTACGATCAAGGTTAGTGTATTTTGATTTTTAACAACAAATTCACCTTAAATTAGCTTAGAAAAACGTCACCCAGTTGGTGTTTAAATGTGCATCAACTGGCGTTTATATACCAAATGTACTTATTATTATTATCATCATAAACTGGGGCATATTAGTTAAAGATGTTTAACTTCTGATCATCACGGATATAAAAGGCTCGTGTGGCATTTACCAGCCTTTATCATCCCTGGTGTAGACGTGATTTCCGACTAGCTGTCGATAAAAGGATGTGTGTACCGCCCAACAGTTCTCTCTGTTCTCCTATATGGCTGTGAGGCATGGTGGCCACTGAAGGTGGAAGATATGAAAAGGCCGGCTAGCTATCTTTCATCATACTTATCTGCGTTCTATCTCCCGTTTGAAGTGGTATAATAGGGTGAGAAATGGTGAGTTGGTTAGGCGTCGAGTATAAGGTAAGTCAAGGAGGGAAAATCAATCAACGAGGCTGTGAAGTTACATCGATTGGGATGACTAGGTCATGTATTCCGCTTTCCCAGCCATCTCCTTCCTCGACGGTGAATGTTAGGTGACAAAGGATCAGGTTGGAAAAAAGCTGACAGTGGTCAAACGAAAATATGGCCTCATTCCATGAAACCTTCGACAGTTAATTTGATTCAGCTAGCCAGCTACGTAGGGAGGTGTAAACTGTGTGTGGCTGGCTGGTTGGGGTCCTCAGGATGCTAAGAACCACTGACGTCTGGAGACATTTGGTGATATGGCTGAAAATCGTTGTCAAATGGATGTCGGAGATGCATTCACTTTCTGCGATCTTCCATATCTTACTACTATTGTTACTATTCTTTCTCCCTCACATTTCTGCTGATTGTGGTTCTTCTGAATCTCTTTTGCCTTCCTTTGTGTGTTACATGGAGAGAGAGAGAGAGTGTGGCAAGTCAAACTAGTGCACTTTCTATGCAGTGTTCTATTTTGAAACCAGCCAAGTCACTCAGTCAATCGTTTTACTCTCGCTAAGTTATGGTTACTTATTCGTCAACTTCTGTAGTTCGATGAAGTTGACAACGCATTTATTATGAATGCGTTGCACTTATTTCAATTTTATTTCCACCCTATCATTAGTCTATCTCAGTAATACTTCAGTGTTGTATATACTGTAGAGGTGGGTCACACAGTTCCATTACTTTGTCGATGAATTCATGAGATTTGACTGCGTATTCGGCTTGAATACGTCTTCTTTAGGCTGAGTTCTGCTCATTAATTGTTATATGTAGCTGGGAATCAGTGGGGGTGGGGGGTAGCTATTCGTAATTCATCATGCCTTGTGAATTAAATTTTTTTATGTTAATCTGAACGCAAATCAAATCATCACATAGATGCAACAAGCCTTAAGTGAAATGTGCAATAAATATCAAGTGTTGGTTTGCAGGGATTTTATTGATTTCAGGTTCTATCAAGAAATGGCCTCACAGTTAGAGAGAGAACCAATGAGAATCAGGAAGTACTGAACATCAGTTTCGTCCTAGTTTAGGACTCTTCAGTAGCACGCATCAATCACACCTTCGGGGACCAAACCCTAAACCATGAGGTTACAAGACGAGTTCGGTGGCCATCCCCGATGTGCCTAATTATTTGTTTCATTCTATTTTGAGTTCTTCTTGAGAGTAATGCAGCTATGGATGCTGTCCTTTAGCGAAGACATGACTTCAGATGAACACAGACAAGGCGGAGGGGGTGTAAATAACCATCCAGCCAACCAACCCACAACAACAGGCACCAATCACTATCAACGGAATAGATTTGAAAGAAGTCATTTCCTTCACTCATCTAGGTGCAGTCGTTTCAAATACAGGCAGTCGGCACGGATGAAGATGCCAGCACCAGCCAGAATCGTAAAGTCGAGGCAGACCCTCATCACTCTGAAGTCAGTTGGGAAATCTTCTGCACTCAGCATAAAGAACACAATTCGTATTTCCAACACCAATGTTAAGTCAGTGATTCTATATATAGATCAGAAACGTGCACTGCGTGTCACGAAAAGAATTTCTAAAAGGCTTCAGGTTCTTGTCAACAGCTGCCTTCGCTACCTCCATACTAAAGATCAAATGACCAGAAAGAAACTGTGGTAACGAACCAAACAAGAACCTGTTGGTCAACAAATATCCAAAAGAAAATGGAAACGGTTGAATGACACTGTGCACCATGCCATTGCTCAAGTGGAACCCGAATCGGGCGTCACCTTCGAGGATTACGCGGAGGACGTGCGAGGAAGAGGAGTAGGAGCTTAGAGACTATGGGCAGTTGTGGGGTTAGCGAGATTGAAGAGGGTCTCAAAGAATAGGACAAAGTGGAAATGTGCTGTTGATGCCCTATGTTCCATTATGAACTCAAAGGAGCAATAATTAATAGTAATAATAATAATAATAATACGTTGCTTTATGGGTGAGCTAGCTAACTATATAGCTATCCAGCACTAATTACATACACTTTCTATTCACATTCTGGTTGCTAGAAGTTTTTTTTCATGTCTGTGTTATTTTTGTATTGTATTCTGATTTATTTAAAAAAAATATATATGCATATATTTTTGTTTGTTGTTTGTTTGATATTTAAAACTTTCACAAGAGAAAATACACACACACACATATGCGGTACTAATATGCTGACTGATTGACTGACTGACTATCGATCATGCTTTGTCGGACGTTTTTTTCATCTCTTCCCAAACGTTTTACTAATCTCCATCTACTGTCTTACTACTATGTGTTAATGCATGTTGGGAATGTAGTACTTCTTACCCTCCCTCCCTCCCTCTCCCTCTTTCTCCTAAAATCCCTATCGTTTTCCTTTTTCTTTAATTTATATAAGTCTCATACATATATATGCGACTGGAAATCTTTAGAAGAACACCGCACTTTTTGTTGGTTTTAATCATATTACTATATTCGTCGTAAATTGAGTAGTATTGTATTCAAGTCTGTTTGTTGTTGTTATGTAGATCATCATCAGTATATCCTTTGACGACTGCTGTTTGCGCGCGCGCGAGAGAGACAAAAAAGTGAATTTAATTAGTTGGAGGATTTCATCATGAGCTGGTATCAGTTAGACAACCATTGGAAAACCAACAAGGATTACTAGACAGTCAGCTGTTTTGTCCTAGTTCGGGATTCTTCATTAGTACACACCCACCACCAGGGTTCGAACCCAGGACCTTCTGGTTACAAGGCTAGCGAGCTCGTAGACCATTAAGCCACTGGGACCCGATAGTCTTAATGGTCTGCGAGCTCGCCTTGTAGCCAGAATGTCCTGGGCTCAAACCCCAATTGTGGGTTCGTACTTCTGAAGAGCCCTAAGCTAGGCTGATGAAACACCTGTCCAGTACTCCCAGCTTTTCCAATGGTTCTCTAAATGGTATCAGCTCATGATGAAATCCTCTAACCAATCATACAAAATCCCTACAGAAACTAATACTTGAATTTAATTATCTAATGACTGAATTGATCATTTTTTTAAAGAAGTTGATGTCATCTTTGACTCTGGAAGGATATTCTGTCAATGTGTACGCCTGTCTGTCCAATGCTGAATGTGTTGTCTGAAACAGATGTTTCATGTACATCTGGTTATGATGAGCTATCATCATTAGTGTGTATGTATTTGTGAAGGCTAAAGGTATTATCCAATTCCGTAGGGTGATTAAGGTGAAAGTGGAGTAACTTTGAGGTCGATAATTGAGGTTTTTGTATGCGATAAATAAACAAAACATTTGTTGTGCTTTGGAATTATCTTGGGAAATACCCATCGGGACATTGAAAGGAAAAGAGCAAGAAGTTCAGCAACACAGATAACTATCTTTTCGGCGATTTCATTCTCAAAAGCTGTACTACTACATTTATATACATAAGTTTACACGGACACAATTATTATTTATTTAATTCCACATAGTAACGAAGATGATAATAATTTTCAACTTGATATGAAAGTTTGAAGGTATGAATATAGATTACAAGGTGTTTAGAGACAAGATTACGTAGGATTAGAAAACAGTTACAATGTATGCAAAATTAATATTTGATAACTGGAGAAATTATTTTAAAGGCGAATAAAAGGTGACAATATTTTTCAACTCGATATGAATTACAAGAGGCTTAGAAAAAAAATTACACGGGATTAGAATATAATTGTAAAATAGTTATTCTAAACGGATTGCAAGTGTCATCAGGAGGAGCATGGAAACAAACTTAAAATCACTGATTTTATAACTGAAAAAAAATGGGATGAACTGAATGAAGACAAAGAGAGAAGAAATACACAGACAGAGAACAATACAAGACAAAAAAAACTGATGGATAAGGGAACATACCGAACTAGGTCCATGGTAGTTGTAAAGGCTGGACTAGTTTCTTTTGAACACACAGCTCCGGTTTTTCGATGCATATGGCGAGAGCTTCCGCAGTACAAAGAAGTTGGAAACACACTGACTGTCCTTCATAGATTTTTGTTTACTTTGTAAATAACTCTGAATGATGAGTCAGCTAAGATGCTGTGATAGGTGTTGGTCGGCGAGGTGTTCAGTTATGGCGTTTCTGATTGAACCAGTGCCTCCTCTTTGCAGCCATGCTGGATGAATTATCTGTTGTTAGCGCTTGCTTGTTAGCCAGATCAAGGTAGTCCTAAACACTGAACACGATCGTTTTGCTCATTTTATGTAGCCAAATTCATCAGCAGTGTACTCAGTTTGACTATTCATCTCAGAGAGGTGAATCAGTCTAAACCACTATTCGATTTTTGGCTAGCTACTTGCCCTGTGAGACCTGGCCATTGAGGGTGGGAGACATGAAGAGACTAGCTGACTTTGATCATAGGTGCCGGCGTTCTCTCTCCCGGGTGAAACGGTATAATAGGGTGAGCAATATTGACCTGGTTAGGCGTTGAGTGCTAGGTAGGTGGAAGGGGAAATCAATGGACGAGGCTGTGAAGTTACACTGATTGAGATGGTTAGGACATGTGTTACGCATCCCTAGCCATCCATCGCCTTCCTCGACAATGGACAACGTCAGCTAATATAGGGTCAGGTTGGAAAAGAGCCAGTGGTTATCAAACCAAAGCGTGGCATCAGTCAGTGAAACCCACAACAGTTAGTTGAAGCCACGTAGGAAGGTGTAGACTTCCTGGTTGGGGTCCCCGGGACAGTAAACACCAATGGCTGGAGACGATTATTGGTGTTATGGCTCAAAATCGTTCTCAGTGATGGGGCAGATGCATCCACTCCTTGTGGCTAATAATACCCAGGTTCTTCGACATTACTATTCTTTTTGCCTCATATCTGTTTACTGTCTGTATTTTGCATTTCTTTTTATTTTCTTCTCTTGCTTTGTGTACTTCATGGAGGGAGTGTGGCGACTGGAACTGCTGCATATCAATGCAAAGTTCTATGTTGAAACCAGACAGACTTGCGGGTGAACTGCACTGAATCAAATGGGTTGATGTACAACTACTCATCTCAATCAGCCAGTAGTAGTGTAAAATTTTATTCAAATCTACTTGCTTACTTTCTTATTATTTATAGTCTCAATCAGTATCAGATATTGTCATGAGAATAATTTTGGTTTCCAAAGGAAGAAACTGTGGTGATGAAATCGTTCCACCTCGGTGAACTGCGTAAATTCTGCAAACTGCGAATTTGATTTAATCTTAGATTGTCATCGTAGCCCCCACCCCGCCATCTCAACTAGTAGAGTGTGCACAGAATTAGGATTAAGTCGCAAAGTGATAGAAGTGATGGTCACATCAGAATACTACTGCATCTAACCCATGGAGCTTTCTAAGTCATGTTATGGTGAAGTTTTCCCTATTACCTCCTATATTACCTCTTGCCTAGAGGTGTACTCAAATGTACACACAAACATATTTCATAAGCTTTCGGAAGCTGTATAGCTTATAGATCTACGACAGAGCTAGACTTTCAACGACTAGGTCTCACTAGTTTAGAGCCTGTTCTGAGGAGGGTATCATTAGTCTCTACTAAATACCACCAGGTGAGTGAAAATGCATGCAGTTGTGTGTTGTGAGAGTAACATTTTCATATAATTCTCCACAGAATTAGATTTTGATCTGTGTAATTTACCTGACTATCTATCTATGTATCTATCCCTTCCACTCACAATTTCCTTCTTCGTGTTCATTCTTCCTTACTGTATGAACAGGTTCATCACTGCCTTGTAATAATCCTCCTAAGTCATATCCATCCACAGACGTGAATAATAATTATAATAGCAGTAGTAATGCAGCTGCTTCAGGACTTCGTACTGCGACAACAACAACAACAACAATATCTTCGTTGACATCAACAACAGCAACAGCAACAAACGTGACAGGTGCAATATGTTCTGGTGGTCATTTACAACAATCAAATCCCAGTTGTATACCACCACCATCTTCTGTTTATTCATCACATCATGGACTTGTACGTATCGGTGATGTTTGGTATGATCGTTATCGAATTCTAGCGCTGATTGGAAAAGGAACATTTGGACAAGTAAGCGAATTATTATAGATATATGTATATATCTTTTCTATAGATAACTGAAATGTATTCACATAGAGAAATGTGTTTGATTAAAGCGATAGTTAGCTAATCATATTATTATCATTATTGTTCTGAGTAATAAATTTTGTATTCAAGTATTGGTATGTAGGGATTTGATTAATTGGGTACAGGATTTCATCATGAGCTGACATCGGTTGGTCAGAGAACCATTGGAAAACCTGCAGGGAGTACTGAACAATTGTTCCGTTTTACGAGCTCGCCTTGTAACCTGAAGGTCCTGGGTTCGAACCCTGGCGGTGGGTGCGTACCGATGGAGAGTCCCAAACTAGGCTGACGAAATAGCTGTTCAGTACTCCCTGAAGGTTTTCCAATGGTCCTCTAACCAACCGATGTCAGCTCATGATGAAATTCTGTAACTAATAAATTTTGTGCTACTGAGTTAACCCACTTGAATGTTTGTCACTGGATAGGTATTTATATTACACTCTTATATATTCTGCTTGGTTGTTTTTAGTGATGGGGGTAGCTAGGAGTGAGATCCTCCAGGATGTGTGTTTCTTCCCACTTGGGATTTGTCGATTGCACATGTGTATGTACCTGCATCTTCCTTCAATGGGTGGTATTCTCACTGAGAGAGATTAGTGCTCAGCAGAGCATCTTCTCAAACACGTCAAGCCGTGTTATTCTCACTAGGCTATGATAGAGGTCATCTCTTGTGCGATGAGTTTATTAGTTTGTTATTTATTGTAATTATTTTTAGATTTCCTGGGTAAAATATGTGTATGTATGCATGCATGTATGTATATCTAATCAGTTGTGTCGGTGGCACAGCGGTTGGGACACCTGCCGACCATGCATATGGTCCGATGGTCGATCCCCGGTCGACGCACACCTGATATCAATGGTCGGCCTGCTAAATTTGATATACCGATATCACAGTGTGAGGGTGACATGGTGAAGATCGTGGGAATGGGAGTAAATGAGAGAACATGAGGATTAATGAAAACAAAACACGTAGTTCAATGAAGAGTCTCTTTTCAGGGAATTCACTTTCTTAGCTGTACAATAGCAAATATATATATATATTTGCAAATATATATATATATTTATATATTTGCTATTGTACAGCTAAGAAAGTGAATTCCCTGAAAAGAGACTCTTCATTGAACTACGTGTTTTGTTTTCATTAATCCTCATGTTCTCTCATTTACTCCCATTCCCACGATCTTCACCATGTCACCCTCGCACTGACGACCCATTCGTCGCTCTCCATTCGGATTCTTCTCGAGTAATCGCCTACACTGTGCGCAATGTCATCTGACGGCCTCCTCAACGTATACCCGATCCATCTCCATTTTCTCCTACATATTTGTTGAGCGACCGACTATTGGTTGGTTTGTTCCCAGCCGGAGTTTCTTGTTACTAGTTCTTCCTGGCCATCTGATCTTCAGTATGGAGCCAGCGAAGGGGGCAGCTGTTGATAAACGTCTGCAGTAACTTGTTGGAAATCCTTTTCGTGACAGGCAGCGCAAGTTTCTGATCCGTATGCTTGACATTTGTGTTGAAAGTCCGAATCTTTTTTTTTTAATGCTGAGTCAGTGAATCAGGAGATTTCCAAACTGGTTTCAGGTTAATGAAGGCGTATCTTGCCTTTCCGATTCCGACTGGCTTTGACATTTTCATCCGTTCCGCCGGCCTGTAGTTGAAACGATGCTTCCTAGCCGGATAAGTGAAGGAGGTGAGTGACCTCTGTCAAATCTCTCCCTTTGATGGTGATTAGTGCTGGTTGTTGTGTCTGTCGGTTAGTTGGTTATCTTCATCACCTCCTTCTCTATGTTCACCTGAAGTCCTGTCTTTGCTGCCTACGTCTTCAACCAGTTTGTTGGTTTTCGCCCTGAAGTCTTCGAGTTTGTGTGACACTAGACATATATGATCTGCGAAATTCAGATCTTCTAGAGTCTTCTTATCGGCCGTCCAGTGTGTTCCTGTCTTCTCACTCCTTTCTATTCTCTTCAACATCGGAATGTTACAGTATGTTTGGACTCTTGTAAACAGTGTCTGTACACAGTTTAGATTTACGTGAATTGCTACAATGATCGAGGTTGATTATCCTTCACAAAGTGAAATGACTGTGATTGGTCAACGAACTCACCTCATAATCTAAAGGTCATGGGTTCGATCCCCAGTGGGTTCACAGGTGTGTACTGTTGAAAAGTCCGGGAAAAAAGAAGAAGGATATGATGATTGTGATACGGATTCATAAGAGGCGTATCTACTGCTAAAGAATATGTCGACTGTTTCATAGAAATTGTGACGGCAGAGTGAATGAATGAAATGCACATTGACTTCGTTATTTTCATGAATTTGTTTGTATGGATTTGATTTTAATTCAAGCTTGATCAGGTATTGAAATCAGTTAGGGAACCATTGAAAACCAACAAGGAGTACTGGACAGCTGTTTCGTTAGTCTAGTTTGAGACTCATCGACAGTACGCACCCACCGCCAAGGTTCGAGCCCAAGACCTTCCCGGTTATGAGACCATTCAGTCACTGGGGTTTCCGACTGAGTAGCCTATGGATCCCAACTTCTACCAAATTAAGGAGAAGCAACTGTTCAGTACTGCTTGTTTTTCAATGGTTCTATGACTGATATCAATGCGTGATCAAACTGGAGACTTCGTTATTAGTAGTTTGCAGCTATAGAGCCTTAGCATCCTCTTCAGGGAAGCAGTGAAGTGCATTTACGTGCATGTCCAGTCATTTTTCTTCATGTTCTTATTTGCTGGATAGTGACTAGCAGTGAATCCCAGCACTTGTCTTACTTAGGGTTCGTCATCTAGATGTACCTGGAGTTGTTGCACGAGGGATGACTCTCTTGACCCAAGTGGTCTAATGGACAACATTTTGGCGTTTGAAACGAAGGAGGTTACCAGGTTCGAGTATCAGGTGTGACACCATCACCCACTGGGGGAGAAGGCGTTACAGATACATCTAGAAGGGGCGAGTCCCAAATCGGATGGAATCCGCATCTCCTGGATTCCAATACTAGTCACTGTCCTCAGATGTTTTCGAAGCGTCTGTACGAAGAGCTGAACATTTCGGTTCAATCAATCAACGGAAAAAAAAGTAGAAACTGATTTAAATAAACCGATTTGTTTATGTTCATAATTTTGTCGAATGACGATACATTCTATGCTGAAAACTACTCTTCCTCTCGTAAGGTAATCAATTTCAAGCCTTTATCGCGCAGACATGTAATGTAGGGTTTGTGGTTTAGTCTATGTTTATGTCTATTTATTACATTCGTTGGGCAGCGGTAGACGAATGTTTGGCGTGCGACTTGCTCCTGTCAAGTGTAAGATGGTGCTTGTTGCAGGACTGGATTACATTGACTCCCTCCTAGCTTAAAGATAGACAGGAGTTAAGTGGTGGCTGAGAGTGTTGATCACTTACTTGGGAAGTTGCATCAGTCAACAGCGCTGACTAAATCTCAGCACGGATGAAGGAGGCATTCACCAACCTATGTCATCTCTGGTATAGACGTGATATCCGAGTGGCTATCAATCAAAGGACGTGTGTACTGCCCAGCAGTTATCTCCAGCGTCTTTTATGGCTGTGAGATATGGTGGCCATTGAAAGTGGAAGGTAAGAGAAGGTTGGCTAGTTGTCTTTGGTCATAGGTGTGTGTGTTCTATCTCCTGTGTTAAGCGGTATAACAAGGTGAGCAATATTGAGTTTGTGAGGCATCATCGGTCGAATGCTAGGTAGTTGGGAGGGAAAATCAATCAACTAGACTGTAAAGTTACATCGATTGAGATGGTTAGGACATGTTTCATGCATTCCTAGCCATCATCTTGCTCGACAATGAGCAATGCTAGGTGAAATAGGATCAGGTTTGTAAAGAGATTCACCAGTCAGTTAAATCCATCATAGTTACTTTGAGTCAATCAGCTACCTAGGGAGTTGTAAGCTGTGTGTCTGGTTTGGTTCCTCGAGATGGTAAAAACCAATGACGGCTGAAAACACTTGGTGATATATGACTCTCAATCGTTGTCGATGGATGTTGGAGGTGCGCTCACTCTTTGTGATGATATACTATATCGGTCGGTCGGTTGGTTTTCGACATAGAACTTTGCACATATGTGCGGCAGTTCAAGTCGCCACACTCCATGTAGCACACAAAGCGAGAGAAGAAAGTAGAAGAAATGCATAATATAGACAGTAAACAGAGGTGTGAGACAAAGGAATAGTAATAACGAAGAACAAAACAGTTTCATTGGAAATCATGAGTCACAACGAGTGGATGCATCTGCGTCACTGAGAACGATTTTGAGCCATGTCACCAATTGTTTCCAACCATTGGTTTTTACCGTCCCGAGGACCCCAACCAGTCAGGAAGTCTACACCTTCCTACGTGGCTTAGACTAACTGTTGTAGATTTCATTGACTGGTGCCATGTTTTCGTTTGATATATACTATATATCATCCAATAAAATTCTATTGTGCTTCTACATTACTACTACTCTTTTTCCCTGACTTACACTTCGGTTTAGTATCCGTCTCTGTTTTGAATCTGTCTTTTGCTCTGTTCTCTTGATTTATGTGTGCCTGCTACACATGGGATGTGGAGGGTAGTGGCAAGTCGAGCTACTGTTGCATTTCTGTAAAGTGTTGTTCTATGCTGAAACCAGTCAATCAGTCTGTTTAGTCTTGGGGAATAGTATGCATCATCTGATGTCTCACTCACTATAGATACACTTATACTATTTTCAATCAATCAATCAATCATTTATCCGCCTTTGTGGTTGTTATTGTCTTCTCTGTGTCACTCTTTGTGTTTTTCACACATATATATGAGAAGCAATGAGAAGTGTAAAGCTTCTCACCCAGTTTCTTTTTTGTTTTTGTCATTGTAGTTTTGAATGTAACTCATGTTGTTTTCGTATCTCACAAATGAAACATATATATATATATATATATCCATACGT